CTGAAGTCATGGAAGCAAAGGGTGGAATGGTGGTTACTAAAGCTTGGGTGGTAGAGGGAACAGGAGATGCTGGTCAAAGGGTGCAAAGAGGCAGTTAGGAGAAATCAATTAAATGTAATTAAGGTGCTGAATATGTTCATTAATTTTAAGTGAATATTCCACACTGAGTACATATGTCATAATGTTACTGTGGACCCATAATTATATGTGATTATAATTTGTCAAGAAAATCAATCTCATTTGTCACTAAATACATAAACAAGCAAATAACAGTAACAAGTTTGGAAAGAAAGGTAGAGTCAGTGCCCAAAATTGGTATGCTATGTTAGCTAATGTATCCAGGTTTCAACAATAATGTAAAAGAATGCAAAGGAAAAAAAAGACTAACTCTACATACAAAAACAGGCAACAGAAGCTTCTCATGAGAGCAACAAGATGTCAGATTAAAAACATTTTTTTACAGTTTAAATTTCAGACCAGTTGTTATACCCCATAACTGTCTTGAATTTCCTTTTTTGTCTCAGATAATGTCTTTATAGCAAGTCTTCTGCATTGGATATTCATCATAGTTCATTCTACTGCTGAATTGTGAACTACCTTTCATAAAATTCAGTGTCCTGAGACACCCTTTTTATTATATCCCCTAAATGTAGCAGATTGGGTTGAAGCAGAGCCAGGTGAATCATTCTGTTGCTCCGTAGGGTATCAACTGCCAGCACACAGAATTGATCAGCTGAAGCTGAAGATAAATAATGGGTCCAAGATAGCTTCATCACTCTGGACTCTTGGAAAAATTGTCTGGAACCTGGGTGCAGTTGAGATCCTCTCTACTTCAGGTTCTCTCAAGAAGAAAGCATCCCCCACTGAGGTGGGGTCATGCAATTTCTTTCCTATTTTTCTATCCTGTGTGATTTATGGTAAACATACAAATGCACACAGGGTGTTTTTCAAGCCACAAGGTAGGGATTCAAATTGTGGTTATCCAACTCCCTTAATGACCATGCTTGCTATGGAGACAGTCTGTCTTGATAGATTTTAAAATACACAATACAATATTGTTAACTCCAGGTACCTCAATGTTGTACAGTCGATCTCTAAAACTTACACATTTTTCATCAGTGATATTTTATATGCAGTGACCAAAGGAATCAGAAGAGTCAAAAGACAACATACCAAATGGGAGAACATATTTGTAAACCATCATATATGTTACAAAATATTAGTATCTAAAATATATGAGAAATTATGCAATTCAAAAGCAAAAAAATACCTATAACCCACTTTAAAAATGGGCAAAGGATTGGGATCAGCAGCTAGTGTAACAGCTATGTCGCTGGACTCCCATGTAGTCTACCGTGGTTTGAGTCCCAGACATGGTGGCTTAAACTCATGCTGGGCGCGTGGGTGTGCGTAGCCAAGATCCCAAGAGGAGAATGGAGGAGAAGGGATTGCAACGTGGCCATTGCTCCTGGGGGGTGATTTCTCGTTTTCTGTCTCTCTGGCGATCGCACATGCCCTATAGCAAAAACCTCTCCACACACACAAAAAAATGGGCTTGAATAGACACTTTTCCAAAGAAACATAGAGATGACCAACAGGGATATGAAAGAATGTTCAACATCAGTAATCATCAGAGAAATGCTAATCAAAACCACAATGAGATATCGTTATTAATCTTTTCTTTTATAAAAGCTCCCACAAGAGATGCCTGGTACAGAGTTGTTCAAAACATACCATGTGCGTCCACACATGCCTGTGGTCTTGGCTGGCTGGAAGGCTGGGGGGAAGAGTATCACAGCATGGAGAAACACAGTCAAAGGTCTCTCTTTCTCTCTCATTCTCAACATATTTTTTTTTTTAAAAGAAAAGCCCATGTGGAAAGTGTGGCATTGGTGAGGCTTTTATATTTATTAGGGTTATTGGTACAATGTCTAAAAAGGAACATTTAGTATTATCTATTAAAATGTGTTAGACATCCTAGTAAACCCAGAAACTAAGATCTTAAATTTTATCCTTCACATATAAACATTTATATATCTAGTACATAAATAACACAGATACAAGTATATTCAGTGAAATTTTGTTTATAATGATAAAATTATGAACATTCTAAGTTTTATTAATTTATCAACATTTAATTTATAAAAATATTTAAAGAACAATAATAAGGATGATTACTGAAATTCTCTGGAGATGTCCTTTTGGGGCCAAAAAATTATATTCTAGATTTCATCCTTCAGATAAAATCATTTATGTATCTTGTATGTAACTAACATATGTACAAAAATGCTCAGTAAAGCTTTGTTTATAATGATGAAGTGGAAAATTCCAAACTTAATTGATAACATATGATCAATAAAAGCAGGTAAGTAATAATAGTATAGATTACTATTGGAATTCTCTGGAATTGTTCAAAAAAATGAGGAAACTCTCCATGTTCTGGAAAAAAAAGTTTCTCAGATAAATAATTACACAAAAAGACCAAAGTATAGAAATTTTTACACTGGAGATTCTTGAAATAGGAATTAGACGTCAAAGGGAAACTTTTCACTTGAGAATTTGTGTCACGTGAATGAGGTAACTATTTTTTAAGTTAAAAATAATAACCACCTCAGAAGGATGTTCAGGATCCATCAGGTATTTTGATTAATTTAAGCATAGAGAGAATTAAATGACATGCATCCTACCTGACAGGTCCATTTAAAACATTCTTTTAAGAAATATTTATGAGCCCAGATTTGGTGTGGTGGTTGAGGCACTGGACTCTCACAGCCCATTGTAATTCAAGTCCTATAACCAGTGGCTTGAAAATCACTAAGCACATGTGCAAGTGTACCCAAAATCCTGAGAAGAGACAAGATTGTGCTGTTGCTATCTCCCTGGGGTGGGGTGAGGAGATTGGAGGAGAAGGGATTATTGTGCTATTGTCATCTCTGTGGGGAGGGGGGGATGATTTTTCACTTTCCCTCTCTCTGCCTGTCTCTTTTCTCTCCTGTGAGTACATGTGCCCCATGGGGGGAGGGGGGGACAAAAAACCAAAAAAACAAACAAAAAACACCTTAAAAAGAAAAAGAAATTTCTTTTTGGATCAGGCAAATGGTATGGTGGTTAAAGGTCTGAATTCCTACATGGCTGACTGTGGTTTGTGTCCCAGACCCAGTGGCTTGAAACTCACACCAGGTGTGCAAAATGTCCAAAATCCAAGGAGGAGAATGGTTGAGAAGAATTGCGGCATGACCAACCCCTCTGGAAGGCAATTTCTCACTTTCCCTCTCACTATCTCTCTGTCTCTCTAGAGAGTGCACACATCATATGGCAAAAACTTTTAAAAAAAGAGAGAGAAAAGAAAAGAAGAGTCTATTCAAGCCATTTGGCCATTTTTAATTAGGTAATTTGCTTATTTGTTATTGAGTTGTTTGAGTTTCTTATTTTTTTCTATTAATGCCTTATCACATATATGGTTTGCAAATACTATCCTTAATTTTTTTTGTTTTTAGGTTTTTGCCAATAGGGTGTGTGTACTCCCCAGAAAGAGACAGAGAAAGGGAGAGAGAGAGAGAGAGAGAGAGAAAGTGAGGTATCACCCCACAAGGGGAGATGGCCACACCACAATCACTTTTCTATTCCCTTCTCAGAATTTTGGGCATACACTCACATGTGCTCAGCATGATTTTCAAGCTGCTGGATCTGTGTCCTGAACCATGATTGGCTATGTGGAAAATCAGCTCCTTAACTATCATACAAACTGTTGCCAATTCTCCAAATTTGTAGGCTGCCTTTTCATTCAGATGATTGTCCTTTTTTCACTGTATAGTGTTACTTTGTAATTTTTTTTTGGAGGTTGTTGTCATTGTCATAGGGTGTACTCACTGGAGAGAGAGAAAAAGAAAGAGACAGTGAGAGGGAAAGTGAGAAATCACTCCCTGGAGGGATGGCCTCGCCACAATCCCTTCTCTTTCATTCTCCTTCTGGGATCTCAGCCACACACACAACCGCACCCAGCGTGATTATCAAGACGCCAGTTCCAGGCCTCAAATTGTGGTTGGCCATGTGAGAACCCAGTGACATAACCACTATGCTACCTACTGACCCCTTTAGTGTTATATTTTGATGTGATCTTGCTTGCCTATTTTTGCTTTGATTATTTGTTGGTGTCATATTCAAGAAACCAATGCCCAGAACAATATGAAGAAACTTTATTCCTATCTGTTCTTCAAGCAGGTTTATTGTTTCATGTCTGATGTTTAGGTCTTTAATCCACGTTGAGTTAATTTTTGTTTATGATACGAGATAAAGGTCCAAATGTATGTGTGTATGTATGTGTTATCAAATCATCAGGTTATACACTTTAGATATGTACACTATTTAACTGCTGATCAAACGTCAATTAAGCTGCAAAAGTAAACACTGCTAAGCTGAGACCAACTTTTACTTGGAATCCCAATGAGCTCATTTCCCCTACAATTTCATAAGGTCATTGGCCTCTCCACACTGGCAGCAGCAGGAGACTACTCACCCATAACCTTAAAACTCCCCTTCTTGAGAACATTAATGCCCATGAATCATTCAGTACCTTAACTCTACACAACTGGGGCTCTATGATCTAAACTGCCAGAGAGTAGCAGTGTCCACCATCAAAAAAATAAGAAGCATTTCTTCCCTGAACTCATTCAATGAAAGCACTGTTTCTTTTCTTTATTAAATAATAAAAGTAAACATTCAGGCAGATGGGAAACAGGAAAACAAAGCAGATCCTTACCATCATCACTATCAACTTGGCCCAAGTACAGGCAATAAACATATAGACACATGCAATAAAAACTGCAACAGAGAATATCAAAGGGACCCTAAGGGAAGGCCCTCACCCTCCCCAACTAAATGCAAACTTAACCTAATCACATCTTTAGTCTCTGAGCTTCCTCCTGGCAAATCTATAAATACAGGATGACTTTAGTCCCCACACATTTGGTCTCCTGCTCACCCATCCTCCAGGTGATAACAGCCATGAAGATGCTCGCCTGCCTCGCTGCCATTCTCTTGGTGGTGCTACAGACCCAAACTGATGCACTCCCAGTAGGAACTGAGGAGGATCCAGTCCAGGAGCAGACAGGGGCAGAGGACCAGGATGTCACCACCCACTTGACACAGACTGAAAGTCCTGTTCTTGAAACTACAGGTGAGAGACCTCCAATACGGCAGAGCTGCAGAGTCTAGACAGAAAGAACTAGAGACAGACTCTGGAATGGTCTGAATCACTTAGATGTCTTGGGTCTTCATTTTCTCAAGTATATATTGAATAATGAAAGTCAAATAAATAAAAGATATTTTCTTTCTCTCAAGATGTTTGGCTTCAAGAAATGAGCATGAACTACATTATATTTAACATAGGATGAAATATTTTGTCTAGTTGTTTCTAGATCAAAATGACTAGGCTTAGTTAGAGGGTAAATGTCGTAAAGGAACTTTTACAAACCGAGGGTGCACTAATGGTACACTTAGTTGTGGGACAAAGGGAGGAACTCCTAAAAAGCGAAGACAAATGAGAATGGGTCTCTAATCCTGTCCATATCCAACACTTGCTATGTATGTGTATGTATATGTATTCATATTGCTTGGGATTGACCATTACAATATTGCCTTTAATGTAACCATTATGACAAACCCACTCTACTCAGCACATACATTTTCAAGGATTTTCATTACTAATGTCCATCTCTGACCCAGTACTCAATGCCTGGGGGGCTTGGTTTTCTGTGTTCCAGGGCCTGTGAAGAATGTCACCTGCTCTTGTCGAGCTAGATTCTGTTACAGACAAGAACGTGTTGAAGGCCCCTGCAACATTTTTGGTATGAAATTCATACTTTGCTGCTATTGAGCATCAAGAACAGAGGATAAAAAGGAGCTCATAATTTGCTTTGACACCTAGAAGAGAATTGCTATTATACCTTTACCTTATGCTGAATTTCTTTTCTCATCCCAAATAAAGTCCTTGTAAGTTCTCTGCATTGCAGCTTCTCTGATTTTTCACATGTTAATTGGGACTCTTTGGGATACAAGTTCTATAACATTGAATCAAATTCTTATACATAATACTGATTTTAAATTCTAGGAATTTCAAAGATAAAAACTGGTTTCAAATACAAATCAATACAAAAGCTGAGCTGATACAGTAATGTTCTTCCTAGTTCTCTTTCTTCTTAAATTGTCAGAGAATATGTGTGCTCAAAACAGAGAAACAAAGAAGGAAAGAAGAACCCCTTAATTGGCTGTGGTCCTACTTCAGTTCCTTCTCTATTTCTCTATTCTGTTGGAATTTAGATAGATGGGGGATAGATTTATTAGACCTCTTAACATAAATTATGAAATTACCATGGGCATCAGATAAATAGATGGAACATCTGGTGAAATGGAACATCTGGATGTGTGGAATCTGAATGTCTTTGAGACAATAAGGAACTTCAAGTGAATTCCTTCCCTCTCTTCACTCCCCTCCATCATCCTACACTTATGCATTTGCAAATACTGAATATCAAACCCCGTTATTCTTGGGGGATGCTTTCAAAGAACAAGTTCAAGCCTTCGGTTTCCAGCAGCCCCATGAGAAGTAATGTTCCCAAGATGACCCAAGGTAATATGAACTTATCCTTGCTGTCTTTCTCTTATTACACATCTTACTTTCATATCTAAGCTCATAAAATAGCCAAGACCTCTTGAGAGGTTATTGAAATACAGTTTCTTTTTAGGCTAAAGGATGTCTCTCTGCTCTTCTCTTCAATAGCTTCAGTAAGTTTTTACACTGAGATGTCCTTAGTCATCAAAAGGTAGGCTAGTGTCCACAAATTAATATCAACAAAGAGGACCTCTTTTAAAAAAGAAAATAAAAATGGGCAGAACATTATAGGAGCATGTTATGGCCAGCAGGAGAAACCCCTTTTTCTTAATAATGTTATCTATCCAAGAAAGTCTGCAAATATGAGTACCATATAACGGCATTGAAGAAATTCTTATCTTCTGAACCCCAAAGTGTAAACATTACAATATTCTTTCCAAACTAGGTATTTCTAAGAAAACACAGAGGACCTTCCATTAAAAATGCTTAAATTTAACAGTTAAAGATGTCTACTAAATATCAGTAAGTCTTTGAGTTGACAAAAATAAGCACAATTTCTTCTCATCACCTCACAATTTAGATAACCTATAAGGATCTGCTGCTGATCAGATGTGGGACTTGGGAATAAATATATACTCTCTGAGGTTCAGTATCCTTATAAATAAAACATGAAGAAAATATCCAATTCCTAAGTGTTATTGTGTGGCTTAGTTAGTAAAACCAATACAGAACTTGGTACTGTTCTTAACACATGATAGGCAATCATATTTGATTCTTATCTGCACTAAAAACAGTTTGTTGGTATTTTCTAACACAAAATATACCAATGCTATATATGTATATTTTTCTTACATGTGAGAAAAGTTCTTTTACTAGAGAGTATATGTCTAGGTGGGTTGAAAGTAGCACTGAAACTCTTGAGTTTATAAGTTCAAGAAGTTTAGACTTAATAGTAGGGAAGAATATGAGGTACCCAAAGAAAGTTGATAGTAATTTTATTTCCATTCTTCCTTTTCTCCATTCTTAGGATTTAATTAGTTTTCACTGTAGTAAGTTTATGGGAAAAGAAGATCTGTATCCCAAAGTATACATATATATTTTAAAATCTGAATGTGAATTAAATATAACATTTCATATTTGCTTACTTTTTAGTTTCCTATCCCACTACTTTTCCCAACATATATACATAAGAAATAATTATTTTATTTCTACTGAACCATGTACATTATGTGTGTAATAAAGTAACCCTATGTCAGTATCTTCTGTATCAGTTTATTTGAGTGTAACTCTGGAACCATCCATGATAATAAGTTCAAAGTATTTACTGTGACCTTAAAAATTACAATAGTCATGACAAGTATTTCAATTTTGTTAATGAAAGTATAAGGTAAAATTTGCTTATAAAAAGATAGGTCTTAAAATTAAATGTTAGTGGGGCCAGCAGGTGGCATGGTGGTTAAGGGCTCTGGACTCTCACATGGCTGACTGCAGTTCAAGTCTCAGACACAGTAGCTAACTTTCTCACTTTCTCTCTCTCTTGCTTTCTCTCACTCTGTTCCTCCCTGGTCAAATTAAAATAAATTAATGAATAAATGAAGTTAAATAAAATAATTCCTTAAAAAGTTAAATGTTAGTTATTTTCTGAATAGTTCATTCCTTTATATAATACATAATTCCAATGCATAGACATGTATACAGTAAAAAAGGATGTCTCCCTTTTTACCTGGTTCTAGGTGCCAACTTTGCCTACCACAGGGCAATCACTGGTACTGTCCATGAAAGAAAAATCCATCTTCCTAATACTTTCAGATCTTGGATCAACCCAGAGCATAAGCCCAACAGGAACCTATAAGATTCTGGATAAGTATAGAATTTTGACTGAAACTCAGTGGGATTACATTAACCTAAAAGTTTCTGCACTGCAGAAAAAACAGTCAACAGATTAAAGAGATGACCTAAATAATGGGAGAAAATATTTGCAAAGTACACATTTGATAAGGGATTAATATTTGAAATATATAAGAAACTCCAACAGCTTCATAGTAGAAAGCAAATAACCTGACTTTTTTCCAATGGCAAAAGACCCCCCAAAAGTGAAAAGACACCCCATTTTCCTGGATTAGAAGAATTAATAAATTCAACATGTCAATAATACCCAGCTTAATCTTGAAATTTCATGCAATCCTAATCAAATTACCAGTAATAGTCACTGGAGATTTATTTTTAAAAAATCATAGATTTTTAGGAAATTATAAAATACTCTGTATTGCCAAAGTAATACTGTGCAAGAAGAGTGGAGTAGGAGGCATCTCATCCTCTGGCCCCAAAATATATTACAAAGCTGTGATAATCAAAGCAGCAGGGTACTGGCACAAAAACAAGCATGTAGTTCAATGAAAGTGACAAAATGCTCTGCATCCTTTATCATAAGGGAGATGCAAATTAAAACCACAATGAGATACCACCTAACCCCAGTCAGAATGGCTAAGATTAAAAAATAATAAATGATAAGATCTGGTAGGAATATGGAGGAAAGGGATCTCACCTACACTGTTCGTGGGAATGTAAATTAGTATAGCCACTATGAAGAACAATATGGAGGTTTCTCAAAGACCTACAAACAGAACTACCATATGATCCAGCAATTCATCTCTTGGGTATCTACCCAAAGGATAGAAATAAACTCAGTGGGAAAAACACTTACACATCCATACTTATTGCAGCATTATTCACAATTGCTAAGGCATGGAACCAACCAAATGTCCATAACAGATGAATGGATTGAAAAGTGTGCCAGATATATACTACAGAATACTACTCAGCCATAAAAATGAGACTCTGGCATTTGACAGAAAGTGGATGAATGTGGAAAATTTACTTCTAAGTGAAGAAAGTCAGACTGTGAAACAGAGGCATTGTATATCCCCACTCAATATATATCAAATGTCTTCACTTATGGAGACAATAAAAGATTGGAAGATAGAAAAGAAAGTAGAACAATTATGGATATCATAGACAGTACAGGAGAAGAGCAGGACATGAGAGAGGGTGAAAGGAAGTGGAATAAAGGGAAAAAGAAAGAAACAAAACATATAAGGAACACAAAAATGAGAAATTATCTATTGATGATAATGTGTATGATAACATCTTTGACAGGATTAATATACAGTGTTTTCATGATTGGAAAATTCATCTTGTATGCTATAACAATATAGTTATTGAATGTATAAAATCTTTTAAAACTAATTATTAGTTTTAAAAAAGAGTTAAAGGACAGAGTTCGGACAATGGACTTGGGGATAATGATGGGCCTAACAGAAGATAGAGGTTAATGACCTCGACTAACAAGGAGTTGTGGAAATTACTGAGTGCCAAAGCCTGAATGATGCCATTGAATTATTGAGGGAGCTTGAATATAGAAGTTTAAGGTAAGAGTAACTGCTAGATTATGGGGCATCACAGTGGGGAGCCTGGAAGCCTGTACTGTTCTCCTGAGACAGGAGGACCCTCAGTCTGGGGATGTGTCCTGTCTAAGAATCAGCTTGGCCTGAGCAAGGAGAACACCTACTCTCTTCTCTAGATGTATCTAATTTGTTTCTGGTATTGGTGGTTCTCAAATCCCAAACAAAGGAAGAAATTAAGAAGGGATTGCAGTGTGACCATGCTGCACAGAGGGTACATTCTCATTCTCTCTCTTTCTCTCTGTCTCTCTTTGGCTTTTTCCAGCAAGCACATATGATCTCTGGCAAATTTAAAAACAAAGCAAAAAGAATGATGTATAATCTCACTTGAAACACTGTCTTTTTCTTTGAAATTGAATTTCACATGTCACACTCCAACCATAGTGCACTCAAACCATAATCTCTCCAATATGAGCTACCAAAACTTCAATTGACATATCCATTTTATTTTATTTTTTTCTTGGTCAAACAATTTTATTCACATTAATGATGTTATAAAGTGCAATTACATGAAAACCCCCATATTTTACATGTTTACACTCTTTTCCATTGTCTGTACTTATAAAGTGTTGAAGATTGGACCCACTCCCATTTATGAGCAGTAGGTGGTTTTGTTGTTGGAGTATCCTCAGTCAGAGTGAAGCCAAGAATGCCATTCAAGGGGAATGAAAATGCTATTTGCATCCCAGAATGAGCTTTTCCCATTCATTTCAGTATTATATATAGCCATAGGTGATAGCCAAAAAAAAAAAAAAAGCTTGTTACCTTCATAATAGTTGTTCAATATTTATTTTCTCCTAATAATGTGCCAAATGTCACATCATCTGCCCTGAAAAAAAATTATAGATAACCACAGAGG